TCTTTCTTTTCTTTCTTTCTTTCTTTCTTTCTTCCTTCCTTCCTTTCTTTTTCTTTTTCTTTCTTTCTTCTTTTTCTCTTTCTTTCTTTCTTTCTTTCTTTCTTTCTTTCTTTCTTTCTCTTTCTCTCTCTTTCCTCTCTTTCTTTCTTTCATCTCAATATGTGGCCTAGGTTGGCTTTGAATTGCTGTCCTCACCTCTCAGCCTCCCAAGTGCTGGATTTACAGATGTATGCCACCACGCCCAGCAGCATCTTTTGAAAATCGTCAGTCCCCAAATCTCCGTCAGAAAACACGGCTGAAGCCAGAGGAGCATCTTGTAGTGGATCCCTGACCATCTTCTCTGGCCTCTGGGACCAGGACTTCCTCGGGGAAGCCAACCCACCCTAATTTCTGCCCGTGTTATTTGGGAGGGTCCAACAAAAGGAACTGCTTGGGTCAGGGCAGGGACATGGCGTTCCTCCCTGCATAGCCTGGACAGATTCTGTCACGGGCGGCTATCAGCTCAGCGGCGTACATGACCTCTAGTGCTCAGCTCCAGACTCTCTGCGTTGAGTACATGTCTGATGGTTGACTGAGCTGGGTCCTCTCCTGGAGAAGCTCAGCTCAGCCCCGTGTGTCCACGATATTCCGCCTGGCCCAGCAGAGCCGCCCTGGCAGGACTTTCTCTGAGGATGGCACCTGCAGAGAGCTGCAGGAACAGACGAGCTCTGGGGCCTGGGCTTGGCCGGCCCTCATTTTCGTGGTTCAAGTGAGTCATTAGGCCCAGCATCACAAAGTCATAGGGCCGAGGGTGCGAACCAGGAAGGGACAACAGGGCCGGGGAGCCAGCCTACACGGAAGCACTCTTTGCTGGAGTGAGCAAGGGGCCTGAAGTCTGTAGCAGGGAAATGGAACCAGGAGAGGCGTGTGGGGATCCAGGTGCACACCTGGGTCCAGTCCTGCCTGAACTCCCTTTCTGCTTAAGCCATCGGAGATGGGGTGGGTCTCGTCACTCAAAAGCAAGACCAAAACTGCGCTACTGTTATAGGAATCTCCCGGCTTTCAATTCTCCTGCATGGCTGCATCAAAATGTTATCAGCGGTAGCCTGCTTCTAAAAGTGGCTCGCCAAATAAACATTGCTGGGCTCTGGGTTGCTCGCCTCTCCTTCTGGAGTTGGATTCCAGGTTCCTCTAGACTCCAACAAGGAATGGAATGCAATGAGCAGAAAGCAATGGCAGAGTTTGAAAAAGTGAAGCGTGAGGGAGAAACTGGTTCTGCAGTGTGATCTTGGGCCGAGTAAGAGGAAAAATCAAGATAAGAGAACACCCTGAGAAAGCAGGACGGACTCTGGTGAGGAAGGGCAGGAGAGCAAGTTGTTCTAGGCACCTGTGTCCTTTCATAGCGCCCGCATTGCAAAGAAATCCTCCAGAACTTCTACATACGGGTCCTCAGAAGCGCGGCTGGGCGTCCACGTCTCGGGCTGACGTCAGGTCGGGGCCATCTTATTGGAAACCTGCTCCCGCGAGAACTCAACGTAGAGGGCTTTTTGGGAACTTTTCTGCGCATGTATCTGATCCTGTACTTAACAAGTCGAGCCTGCTACCCCAGCCAGCTCTGCCACACCCTAATCTCCTTTGCCAGTAGCACTGTGAGTCCTTTGAAAATGATAGTTTTCTATTTCTTATATGCACGAGACTGGCACAGATGTGTATTTGATTAAACGACGACTATAATCAGAATATCTGAGCTGGAAGAGACCACTGAGTCGTTTCAGCCAATGACTGAAGAAAAGGCCAGGCTGCCTGCTGGGGTTCACTTGGAAATGGGTGGAGCTGTTTTTCGCTGTCACAATGACAGAGGGACACACCAGGTATTTGCTGGGTGCTGAAGGACAGGTAATGATTTGGACAGTTGCCCACGGTGTCCGACATACTTTTAGAGCCTGGACCTTTGTTTAGATTTTGAACCCACTGGTAATTACTTGAGCCTAGAATATAAATTTACCAGTGCTGGCAGGTCAAGGCCCTGCTTGGGGGCAGTGCCGGTTAAGCTGGCAGGGCTCTGAGTTTGCTGTCAGTATGGGGCCGAAGCTGGAGGACAGCAGGGGCCTGGGAGGCTCTTCTGGTTACAGCCAAGGCCCCAGGAAGTAAGCCTCAGTGCACACCTTTTCAGCCTTCAGGCACATCCTCATGCCAGTCATGATGCTGTTACCCAGGACCAGGGCAGGAGGAGGAAGGGGAAGGGAGAGAACTTTATTCTTTTTCTTTCTTTTCTTTTCTTTTTCTTTCTCTCTCTCTTTTTCTTTTTCTTTCTTTCTTTCTTTCTTTCTTTCTTTCTTTCTTTCTTTCTGTTTCTTTCTTTCTTTCTTTTTCTTTCTTTCTTTCTTTCTTTTTTTTTTGATTTCTTGAGACAGGGTCTCATCACATAGTTCAGGCTAGCCTTACACTCACGTTATTCCTTGGATTGGCCTCAAACTCATGGTGATCCTCCTGCCTCATCCTCCTAGTACTGGGATCACAAGCACATACCATCATGCCTGGCCAAAGTGAGTATTTTTGAGCAAAAATCTAATCCATCTCAGTAATTCCATC